CCCCCCCCCGGACCGCGGGAAGGGGGGGGCTTCGAGCAGTTGCGGCTGCAGAAAGCAAGGCTCCCTGTGCACTGGTCTGTTCTTTTTTTCACTGGTTCTTTATAAATAGCCTTTCTAGAGGACGAGCAGGGCGAGTGTTTCGCTTTTGATCTGGTGAGAGTGCGTTTTTTCTCCCCGCGTTATAGAGCAGCTTTGGTTTATATTTGCAGCTGTGAGCGACTGACTTCGTTTTTTTCCAAAGGAGAGCTCTTGCGTTTTCGCAAGCGGTGAAGTTTTTTTTTTATCGTGTGATGTCTGTGGTTTTTTGGTGTGTGAGTTGCTTGCTGCTACTCCATCGGGTTCTTCGCCGCGCTGCGCTTCGGTTTTATTTTTCGTGGCCGATGGTGTGTAAAGTAAAAGAAAAAGTAAAAGTATTGATGTCACGGTCAATTGTTTCATCGACGTGCAGCCCGCCGACATGAGACCCTCCAGTTTTGTATTGCCGTATCGGTATCTCTATCTTCTAACGGCCATCAAAATCTGTCTTCACCCGGAGGCGTTTCTTTGTTTTTAAGCATTTTTTTCCACGTCGCGAAAGGTTCTACTAGGTCTCTACCAATCTTCAGAAGTATCGACTGAACACGAGCGCGTTTATTTCCCAAACATTGGATTTAGACTTCGGAGGTTTATTCAGCTCTGCAACCAGTAGCATGAGTGTAGTTACAAGTTTTTTAAAGTCATATTTAAGTCCTTCGACGGCTTGAAGACGAAGACGCACTCGTGATGTGTCAGTGATGTAATGAAGTGTCGAGCAGTTCCTGAGTACTGCAACAATTTATAGATAAAGTTTTTGAAGAAATAATTCTTGATGGTGCGGGAACAACATATCAGATTGAATCGGAGTAAGAAGCTAGCGTTCTTGCTGTGCAGCTGCGACTCTTGCAAGCATGCACCAAGAACAGCAGGGGCCTGCTCCCAGGATCATGGAGACCGGTACCATGACTCCTGAGGGCAAGAACACCGCGTCGTCATCTGCTGATGCTTCTACAAGCGGAAAAACCGGGCCAGAGCGGGAGGAGCAAGAAGTAAAGAATCCGAAGCTGCCAGCAGAACTAGAAGTACATGTACACCAGCCGCAGAACAACAACGGGGCTACAGCTACCACCGTAGAGAGTACACTAGTAATAGAGGGCGCAGCGGCGCGGGCCCCTGGTCCGAAGCGAGAAAATGGTGCTGAACAAGAACAAGCCGACACTTCCTCCACCGGAGAAGTTGTTGTCACGAGGTCTACTGCAGGAGCCGAAGCGGGGGCGGCCACAGCTGGTAGCACCGCGCCAGAACCACCGACGGCTGCAGAAGGAAGCACGAGTGGTGTGGCCGCGGCACCATCTACTGCATCAAGTGCAACAAGTTCTGCAACTCCTTCATCACCGCACCACGCGCAAACCGCCTCGGAGTATTTCTACAAAAGGGACTTGGAATATGACAGTGCACAACTCCCCCTCCCGCTCATTTGTATAGCATGAACGGCAATACACGCATCAGCAAGAATGCCGGTTTTGCATGACAAATTTGCACTGGATTGTAGTGCAATTGGGGCCAGCAGAACCTGGTCATGCAAACAGTGCCAAGAGGTAACGGGCGGATTGGGTATTTTGCATGACAAAGGAGGGGGAGGGGGAGTTGTGCGCTGTCATATGGAAATCAAGAATTCCAGCCCGCTGTTCCACAAAGTCTCCTCTTTCGAGTTCGCAGAACTCGCGAAAGCGACGCTGCAGAAAGTTTCCAGCGAGAGCAACCCGGGACTCTTTGGGGGATCCGCGACAGGAGGAAGGGATTGTGGTAGTAGTGCCACTTCTCCCGGAAACCCGGTGGGAGAAGCAGAGGGTGTTCCTTCTTCCGGTAGTACAACAGGAGGCGTGACTTCTATGGCAGAGACGGGTCTTCGTGGTGGACCATCAGCTAGTAGCACCTCTACTAGCCGCGGAAAAATTAACGAGAGTTATAACGTGACCACTTTACTCCGTGATGATTTCACGCACCGGTGCTTTGTGGCGAACAAGAAGCAGCAGATGGTGATCATCCGAAATCCGTATAACAACACCATGCAAGACGTGGAGCAGAGCAGCTTTCTCACCGTGGCTGCAGGGCCAGGTACTACGAGCAGTGGCGCGACAGGACAAGCAGTGGACGCATCTTCACATGGACTACCACCAGGAGCTGGGGGCGCGGCTCCTGCAAGTAGTGCATCTTGTTTCAGTGGGACGACTTCCACCGGGACGACGCAACTAACACCAGGACATCAAGGTACTACCACCGACAGCTCTAGTACAACTGGCCAGCCGCCAGCGCCAGTAGCTCTAGTACAACTACCGGTAGCTCTAGTACAACTGGCCAGCCGCCAGCGCCAGTAGCTCTAGTACAACTACCGACAGCTCTAGTACAACTGGCCAGCCGCCTATCGAAAAGAAAAAGTTCGTCACAGTCACAATTTTTCATTTTTCGAAAAATTGAGAGGTGAAAAAAAAGAAATCTTCTGATGTGGAGGAAACGCGCGACCTTTTCCCCTTCGACTGCAAGGGCCTTGCATTTTGCAGAACTGGGGTGTGACTATTTGCGGATCGGACCGCGACATAAGAGCTTTGGGGGCAGCGTGACAGGCCGAGGGAAGTACTGCCGCCGGCTTGCGCCATGTCAACCCGCAGGGGCCCCTGCGCGCTTCCCGCGCCTTTAGGCGCTATGCGCAGGGAGCAACTGCAGCGAAGCTTGGGGGCGAAGAAAAGCCGCCGCGACGTAGGTGCCGAAGCAGAACGGGGACCTCGCTGCCCTTTTTTGATCACTCTCCCGCGCCCGCCCATCTGATTCCCAGGCGGAAGCTGTGGGCGCGGGGGTGGCGCGAGAGGATGGCGCGAGAGGGTGGCGCGAGAGGGTGGCGCGAGAGGGTGCGGGCCGACGCATGAAAAAGCCCCAAAAGAATCGACCCTGTCCCGGGCGGATTCGGCTTCTTTTACCCCTCTCGCAGACCCTCTTTTTCACCTCTCCCGAGAAGTGTTGCTAATAATCCGGCTATACTCGCCGGTAGAGGTCTACAGAGGTGGCCGAGAGGTGGCCCAGAGGGTGCGCGGGGGGTTCGCCCTTATTCGCGCAACCTCTCGGCACCTCTGTCCCCCTCTCGCGATTGCGAGCCTGTTGATTGCAGCGCGTTACCGCTCGCGCCACACCGGGAGGAACGCTCTGCCACACTGCCTCCATCAAGGTACTACCACCGACAGCTCTAGTACAACTGGTCAGCCGCCAGCGCCGGGCTCCAGTGCAACAGCTTCTAGTAGTACTTCTACATTACCTTCCAAAGCCGACCTCACCGTGTACGCGGTCCACCAAATTGTGTGCGATGAAGCGGTATCAACTGTAAAAGTGTCTGGGTCTGGAACATTCTGACACTTGTCATGCACGTTTTGCATGAGCCCTGATCGATCTGTGATATGCATGCCCTAGCGTCACAGATTTTTTCAGAGCTTCTTGATGCCTATTCCGCATCACAAATGCCCTCGCCGCGTAGCAAAAATTACATTCCTTTTCGTACTCATGCAATACAGATTTTTCTGGAATCCAAATGCAGCATGACAAGTTGCACTCTTCCAGACCCAGACATTTTTACATTTGATAAGCGGTGATCCAAGCGCGGAGGCGGTCACAGGAGCTTGGGTGGCGAAAACGGTCCATCCTGTCGAAGGAACTGACAAAGGGGAATGGTTTGAGAAACCGGAACATTTTGTTAAACGTATTGAGAGGAAAAATCTCTCTCCCCATATTGAAGGGGTATGTCTCCGGAAATTTGTGTTGGTGATTTGAGGTCACAAATCACATTGGTCTCGCAAGAAGACAAGGGCAGAAGCTTCCGCCATATTATTGACGCGGTTTGTCATGCCGTTGGGCCTAAAGGGGGGCCGTTTGCCATGCTGAGCAACTAGACGCATACGCCCCCAGCTAGCCTGGGGATCTGGCCGCAATGCCTTTCTGCTAATCCAGCATCAGAAATTTCGTTTTGATATGGGCAGGGGGGATTTTTCCTTTTGATAGAGCGGAAGG